AATGTTGTCTTTAGTTCTTATGTACTTGAAGTTTACTTATAATCTAATTTGTAACATATGATTATTGGCGTCAAACGTATGTGATATTACTACAGCTGTGTATGTGTGTGTGTGTGTGTGTCGTCAACATTCTTCTCACTGACCTCACAAACAAACAGAGAGATAAAGGCAATTTTACACACAAAGAGAATAGATGAGACACAGAGACGAGAAGAGAAAGAGAATAGAATAGATAAGAACGAGACAGAGAGACACACACACAAACAAACAAATAATCAGACAGACAGAGAAGACAGATACAAAAAACAGAAACACGAAAACACACAGCAAGAATCCAATACTCGCATAACCACCAATAGGGAAACACAGATGAAACAGACCACAAACCCACCCATCCCACCCAAAACCCACCCATCCCACCCAAAACCCACCCATCCCACCCAAACCCACCCAATCCACCACCACCACAACAAAACACCAACCACCTTCCACATAAACAAACTGCTGTCACTCACGCCATCACCAGATTAAAATCAATTCTCTAATACTCTTATTGCCTCCTCCTTGTTATTGATTTCCGTTCCTGGTCATTCTTTCGGGCTATTTTGTGGAGGTGAAGAGCAAGGTGGTCTTGTTAGGTCGTGCTGGTGGTAGTGGTGACGGCTCGAGGAAATCCCTTCAGACACGTGAGACTCAGGGGCCTGAAAATATTAATCTGCTGAAGGAAAACGTAGGAAGGTATTTGTGATATATTGTCCACATGAATGGTTAGATTTACCTGTAGTTTATCATTATTTTTGGTGATTAATCGAGCAGGTTGGTGTAAAGGTATGCAGTACCTTAACAACATAGAAGCTGTTAGTAATCAAAGGAACAGGAAAATATACTTGTCTTTGGAGGAATATGTTACGAGTAATTATAATTATAATGATGTTTGGTTTAATAATGTTCTATATAAACCAGGAAAATATTCACATGTTTTCATTTACATTACGAATAATAGTCTTGTATTATTCGGCTTAATAATACTCGTATACAAATCAAATACTCCCAAGATATTGTTTACATTAGTATATTTACCCCAAACTAGACAATAAGGGTTTGATGTGCGGTGTAAATATTGTAGTGAAATTCAGTTGATTACCTTAACTTCATAGAGAGTTTAGTGACGTCTCTCATCCCTCATCAATATAAAATGGACCTGACTAAATCTTTCCCTTGATGATGTATATTGCCGTCGTCACCTAACTTCTACCTGTCAACTGATGGACTATAATGAGAATGATATTGTAATGCCATTCAGGTGTGAGTTACGTGACTAGTATTTAGATGAGGTTATTTTGTTTATAAATTCTTTGTCTTTTCAGAATATCCATGTTTTCTAATTTGTTCTATTTTATAATGTAGATGATTTTTTTTGGTACTATTGCATTTAAGACTGAGTTACACTAAGCCTGTAATTATAGATGTTTTCTTGTGGGATATTTCTTCGGAATTTTAGATGTTACGAACCCCTCCACCAATTGTCCTGATCTACCTACCCAGCACCACGAGCAACGCCATCTAGGGACGAGACACGAGTATGACTCGTCTTAGTTAACACTCCGGGGTTTCCCTTCTCCATATCCTGGTTGTTGCGTCACTTCCTCCAAGTCTTCTTTGTGAGCTCCAATTCGAGGAGAGAGCAGTACACTCTGGGAAGTGACCACAGGATCACCTATCCTGGAAACCTACGGCACAGTGACTACCTACCGTCTTCTACAATACTCAGCCTTGCTCGTCAGCCATCTCAGCTCCGCACTTAAGTATTTGTAATCTTGTATTGCCTCCCCCACGTCCACTTGCTTCAAATTATCCTATGTAGTATTAATATGTATATACTGTTAATGTTTAGGTTAAGTATGGTTAAGGGTAAATTATAGATAGCTGAATGTTTTGTTAAGGAATTTATGGTACTTTATTATACACAACGAAAACTCGCATCCTTTGTCTACCCTTTTATAGTCCGATTGTCTTTGTTTTTTTGTGTTGTTGCCTGTTGGGATCTGGGTAGACCTTTAACTATATTATAAATCCCCTACTCGTAACATAGAATTTAGCAACAATTTCTATGAATAATCTACGTAGAGAAAGTGAGAAAGATAGATCAATAGAGAGAGAGAGAGAGAGAGAGAGAGATGAAAAGGAAGATAGAGGAAAAAGAAAAATCACGAAAGCTAGTTAGATAGAGAGACAGGAACAGAAAGCCATTGTTATAGTCGACGCAACCGCCTTGTGGGAGCAGTCAAGATGTCTAAATTGAAAAATCACCGAAATTTTCTCACAGACTACAAGACTTGTCCTGGTGACGGGCTTATCACCATGGAAGCCTAGTGAAGGGAGGCAACACACACACACACCGTTATCGTACTCTTCACTGACAGCTGTTTCGAATTTGGATGTGACGAAAGGAATAATTATTGTTTATATAATATTACTATTCATTAAATAAAGCTGCGTGTGGGAGCTTAGTACTAATTATTGAAGAAGTACCTCATTTCTATTCTCGGAATTTAACCTAATCTAACCTCATTTGCACCTAATCTAAGTTGACCTAAGATAGCTTAAAGCAATCACACCTAACATTACTTAGCCTGACCTAAATAAGTTTAACCTTAATTCAGTCTAACCTAACTTCCCTAGTGTAATTTAACTTAATTTACATAAAATTAATCTAACCTATCTTACCTAAAATAAATGAATCGAGTTTAATTTAACCAAACCTAACTTTATCTAACTTACCTTAAATAAACACGTAATTTTAGTTTGAAATTTCCCTATGTGATTCTCGTACCAGATCCTGTTTTGATTCCCAGTTTTGTTTTTCTATCAAGTTGCGTATGGTGTATTCGGTGGTAGAGTGCTGTTGGCTCACACTATGGGAACCACTCACTGATAAGACAGTGTTGTCGCTGCAACCGTCGGGTGAAGCGAGAACCTCCGCCACTTTGACAGCTGACGCAACTAATCTGATACGCAATTTTTTTTATACAGCACGAACTGTTGACACCACTAAGTACACACGTCCCTTCCGTAGATAAGGTTGTCACTTCTAGTAGATAAACATAAATAATTAAAAACAACTTTATCATATATTAAGGTTTCATTTGCTCCAACTCTTATATCTTGACCCTTGACTTGTACAAGATTTTATTTCGTAACTACTTTGTATAACTGATTGAACTGTGATGGTATTATGGCACTCTAACATAAGGGGAAGAAGCAGTGTACCTGTCTGTAAGGAACACATCAGTCATAATTACAAATCTAGTGATTTAGTTACGAGAAATATTAAAATAATTTCAATCCCAGGCAAAAAAATATAATAATTTGGTGATACATAACAAACGATTCCTGTAAATGTGAGCTGAATAAATCATCCCCATTCCTAATTGGTCCTAACCTTGCCTTATCAACCCTGATGGGCGTGGACTTGAACTTTAGGTTAGGTTAGGTTGGGTTAAGTTAGGTTGGGTTAGATTATGATAGGTGTTAGCTTATTACAAATTGTCCCCTGTCACCCTCTTCCCTACAATGTCATTTAATCTGTTTTTCATTATAGGATTTTATTAAACGAACTCGGATTAATTTAACCGAAGGAATCAAATGTGTTTCTTCACAGCCACAATCACCCAACATCTCAGGAAGGTCTCTGAAGTAGGTAATCTTTCAAGTAATTCTTTTGTATATAACTTGTTTCAGAAGACAGGAGTCAGACCAGTGGAGCTCAAAATACCTGCTCTATGTTATTTTTCGTAAGATTTAAGTAAATAAAGTTAAATTAAGTTAAGTTACATCAAGTTAGATTAGGTTAAGTTATGAGAGGTCAGGTTAGGGTTCTGGTTGGGAGATTCATCATAGTTTGTCCTTAAAACGTACGGATTTCTTTAACGTTTTCTCTTATTTTATATGTCGGTGGTCGGGGTGAATGTCGATAACTAAACTGGCATGGTTTTCAGTCCCTTTTCATCGTCTATTAGAACAAACATAATCCCATGTAGAAACCTGCTCAATAAGTGTAAGTAAATGCATTGACAGACATATTCAGAGTCGATTGCTAACCTTATTCAATTCAGTAACTACTTAAAATTCATCATACATTACCGAAATAAATCTACTGAAATTAACATATCATACGCAAACATCCTTTAATATAATATTTTTGTTTTTACTATATTTATAACTTAAAGAATAAATTTGTCCTTTTCCTTTATCTCCGTACAGTTCAGTTCTATAAGAGAGATCAGCGAGGGTGTGAATTCTCAAAACTTCGCACATTTAAAGTTTTTCACCTTAACAGTGTACAAGACAACGCATTTAGTTACGATAAAATCTCGGCTGCAATTTTCGACACTTTTGGCCACCATCTTTGCTGCTGTAGCTTAAGTGAGTCAGTTAGATGCGTTCTCACACCCCCAGTTACGAGGAAACTTGGTACGTGCAAACCTTTGAAAATCTGGGTCAAGTATCGTAGTATAATTAGCTCTGTGGTGGTTGAGGGTGTGAAGTGGGAGATGGGAGGGGAGGAGAGAAGGGAGGGGGGTGATAGGGTGATGGGGTGGAGGTTGGAGGAGAGGAGGGGGGAATGGGAGGGAGGAGGGTGGACATCGAGGGAGAGGATAAGAGGGAGGGGGTGGAGGTGGAGGGGTGAAGAATAGGAGGAAGGAGGATATGGGAAGGAAGGGTAAGGATGGGAGGTAGGAAAGGGGATGGGGAGAGAGAGATTGAATGGAAGGGTAAAATGAGAGGGAGAAAGAAAAGGCGAGTCTAGGAGGAAGAGGAGGAGGAAAGGGAAGGGGAGGAGGAGAGAAAGACGAAGGGGGAGGAGGAGGAAGAGGAGGAGGAGAGAAAGGAGAAGACGAGGAGGAGGAGGAGGAGGGGGAAAGGGGAGGAAGGGGAGGCGGGAGGAGGAAGAAGTAGGCAGATAAGACGGGGCAAGGAGATATAAAAGGTGTGAGAGTGGGCGAGAGTGTTCAGTACAACACCATGAAGTTTGCCATACTCCTACTGCTCTCTACAGCCCTCCTTGGTATGTGCACCATTCCCTCTAACACCCTCTCACTCCCTCTCATTCCCTCTAGCACCCTCTCACTCCCTCTCATTCCCTCTTACACCTGCCTCCCCCTCTCCCATCCCACTTACTTCTTGTAACAGACCCCTCGTCTGTTCCGCTCTCACACTCTTCTCCTCTCTCACTTCTCATCCCCTCTCACATTAGTTTCCTCTTCCCTATTCCCACTTATCTCTCTTTTTAACTCTAAATCCTACTTCCACTCTTCCTTTATACATTCCTCCCCCCTCCTCCTCTCGCTCACTCTATCCATTCCCTTCCCATCCCCTCTCTTTCTCGTTCCATTCCCCTCCTCTCTCTTCCTCCTTCCATTCCCCTTCCCTTCTCTATTTTGCTTATTCCATCCCCCTCCCCTCTGAAACCCTCCTCTCTCCCACTCCCCTCTCCTTCCATCCATTCTACTCCCCTCCCCTCTCATCCTCTCTTCTCCCCCTCACCACCACCTCTCTCCCCCTCTCTCCCCTCAACCCCCTTCTCTCCCCTCACCATGAACGATAATCTTCCCATCAGTGTAAAACTCACACCTACATTTTTCCCTTAATCACAAATAAATGAAAGAAATTGTTGGATTGCACAGGTAAGCCGAGTGTAAATTGCAGGTCTTTATTTCCAATGGCATTTTTTTCACACCTATGTTAAGTCATCCCAGGTAGAGATATTTGTTTTTTTACCTGACCTGACTGATAATGTTTTTTTTGGGGGGTGTGAAGGATGTAATGCTGCTAATGAGTAATTGTTATTTTCGTTTTAATTGTAGTGAATTTATTCTAGTTTATTTTAGGTTTATTTTAGGAATTATTTAGGATTTATTTAAGAATTTATTTTAGGGTTTATTTTAAGTTTTATTGTGGTATATTTTAGGTTTTAGTTTAGGTTTTTATTTAAGATTTGTTCTTGTTTATTTTAGGTTTAGGACAAATTACTACAATGTATTTTTGGCATGTCTGGTGTAATTCAAACTCTAGAGAAAACATTTTAATAGATTTCTTCATAATTTTGATTCATTTTAGCTTAATTATATTTATTTTTTACACGGGTGATTATTTTTCTCACTAAATCTAATTAATGATACAAATTACTCAAATATATGAGTTTAATTTGTTCGTAAATTTAATCTATAACTTTATTAATTACTGGGATTTTTTTATCAGGTAAGAATGATTAGGCAGGTGTCGTTCATATGGCAAGTACCAGCAATACTTCCCTCCCTCCCTCCACCTCTTTCTCTGGCTACCAACTACCGGAATCAGACTCGAATTTCCCTCCTAAAATCTAAGTTTAGGTAAGTTAGAGGCAGGTGACGTTTTCTCTCAAGTCTCAATCTCTTTTGGGCCTAAACGGCAACGTGACGATCTCCCTTACCAGCGAGTAGCCAGGATGACTGTGATGACGGCTGCACAGACGAGTGGAACCCCGTGTGTGGGACAGATGGCCTCACCTACAGTAACCTCTGCTACCTGGAGCTGGCCGATTGTCTCAGTGATGCCGACATTAAAATAGTAAGTTCCTGCTTCCTTCTCCTGTCTCACTCAATCTTTTCCTCCTCATTCTCTTCGTGCTTCCGTTATTGTATGTATATTATGTATGCTATATGTATATCATGTATGTGCTCCATTTATATACACTATTTATTCAGCCTAGCTAGCAGCGTGTGGCAATGTATTTACCATGTCCCACACGCTTAATTAATGTGCCTGGCGACATATGGAAGCTGCTAATGTATCACTTACCACATGTCGCCCGAAAGGCTAGTTGACCCCCCAGACAGAGTAAGGAGCGCCACCTCCCTTGTGTATCTCTGTTTATCCAGGAAATAGAGCCTTCGAAAACTCTACAGGTGTTTGTGTTCGCTCCTGTAGATAGAACTTGATACCCAGAACACATGCAGTTATCATCTATCTCTTCCTTTCCTCCTCCTCCTCCTCCTACTACTACTACTCCTCCTCCTCCTTTTCCTCCTCCTCCTCCTCCTCCTCCTCCTCCTCCTTCCCTTATCGTCTACTTACTCTTCTTCCACATTGTCGTCTTTCTCCTCTATCTCTCTCTTCACGTTCTTTCTCTCTCATTGTCGGCCTACCACTTGTAAACTCTAGCTGACCTGATATATTTATTCATGTACCCATAGCATTATTGCACTGTCTTACTGAAGAAAATTATGCATCCGTTATATATATATACAAGGTGTCCCATAAGTCTCCATACAACGTATCACCAATGCCATTACAAGCATAACTCCAGCTGTGCTTGAACGTGTTCTTCAGCAGTGGAGGACACGCATTGAAGAGTGTTTTCAACAGAATGGTAGTCATGTAGAGCATATTATATAAATAAAAATGGATTTTCATATAAAATTTATTTTTCCTATGTATGGAAATTTATGGGACACCCTGATATATATATATATATATATATATATATATATATATATATATATATATATATATATATATATATATATATATATATATATATATATATATATATATACGAGTGTTGCCCCCCTCACCACTACACTTCCCCCTTCTCTCTCTCTTTCTTTCACTCTCTCTCTCTCTCTCTACCTATCTTCCTCCCTCCTTCCCGCCCTCCCTCAATCCCCCCTCACTACAGTTTTTATCTCTCACAGGATCATCAAGGAGAGTGCGACGACTGCCAGTTCGGGTGCTACGAGGTGTGGGACCCCGTGTGTGGCTCCGACAACATCACCTACAGCAACCCGTGTGAGCTGCACCGGGCAGACTGTCTCTCCTCCGACCAGATAATAGAGGTGAGTGTACAGGTGGTAGTGAGTGCATAGGTGGTATTGAGTGCACAGGTGGTAGTGAGTGCACAGGTGGTAGTGTCCAGAAGAGTGCGGGAAAGGTCAGGTGGTGTCGGCCAGAAATATTTAGGAAATAATTAGTTGCTTCGACTGTTTTAAAGAAATAGTACTTGGTATCGTCTAAGATTGTTCAGTTGTATCATCCACGGCTGTTCAGGTGCAGAAGGTGGAATGATTCAGAGTGGTTCAGAGGTATCATTCAGAATGTTCAGAAATAGATGGGTAGGTTTGTCTGTAACTTATCAAGACTACCTCTATCCTCCCAAAGACATCATTGAAATTGGTCATTGAGAAAAATACTGAATTTCACCAACGATTCTCAGTAGTTGATCTGTTAGGGAGAGGTTATGGATATACCAACAAAGTTCAGTACAAATAGGGAACTGATTTACAAAGTGCATGACTAAATTTCTCACTATCACTCTGTCATAACCTCTGTGATCTCTCTTCTCAAGGATTATACGGGAGAGTGCCAGCCCGTATTACATAACCTAGTACCACACTGCAACGACTCCGTGTTGGACAAAGACTGCAGCACCAACTTCTTTGCTCCCGTGTGTGAGCTTAGCGGCACTACCTACCGCACCGTGTGTGATCTCTGCCAGGCTGAGATAATTGCACAGATGAATGGCGAGAACATTATTTATGTCATCAATCACCTGGGTGAGTCAAATTAAACCTGAGTTAAATTACACCTGAGTCACAACACACCTGAGTCAAAACACACCTGAGTCAAAACACACCTGAGTCAAAACACACCTGAGTCACAACACTCCTGACTGTATAGATTATTAAACCCCATTTATCCTGTATAACACGATCCCATCATCCACCTATTGATTATCGAGTTGGTGATGATTATTTGATTTTTGAATTATTATACATTTAGTGTATTAAGACGTCAATACTCACAATGCTAATGCCTCACTCTCTCTCCCACAGGTCCGTGTCATGACTAGCGAGGAGGAACACTCGTCACTCCCTGGGAGCCGTATTGTGTGTGTGTGTGTCCCTCTATAACCCCCCACTAACTTCACCCTCCTCCTACCACCTTGTGAATAATTATACTGAGTCGATCTGTGAGTCAAGTCGTTGAGGCAGTCAGTTATTCGGGATACTGTCTGGCTCACCATCACGCCATCCCTCCTCGTGAATCAAGCTGCCTCTAGTTTTTTCCGGTGTACTGACATCAAAATAGACTTCTGTGTCTTTATTTTTATTATTTTTACTATTGTGAGTTCTTCAGTCCCACAGTGTTTGGGCTTGATGATGATGATGATGATGATGATGATATATTGATGTGAATACTAATTCTATTTATACTAATAACAATACTACTACTACTACTACTACTACTATTAGTACTATTCAAGGGAAATATTCAGTAGCTAAGTGATATGCCACAAGAGGCGCTGGTGTCGCTTCTCACCCACCCAAAAACAACAGACAATAAGTTTGCTCCATCAATAATATGTTTGTACACCATAAATAATTATCTGTGAGAATTTAGACATTTTCTTCAGCCCCAGAGACGTAAAAAAAAAATAGGAAATATAATAAAATATTCCTTTATTATTAGTACACAGTTTTATCGCTCTAGATAACACGAACTCCCGATAAGAAAGTTTACAGGAAAAGGTTTGGTTTTATTCATCACAACATCTGGACGTTAATTTTATCTTCACTCGTCTATACACATTACTTAATATAGTCATAAGATATATATGCTTCATTTATCACTACATTGGTATAATTACTATGGAATGATTATCTTATATATAACAGTATACATATTAATGTTATATATGTATACTATATGGATGAAAAAAATATTATTCTCGTTCCTTTTCTTGTCTTTTTGTGTTCAATTATTTTCTTATTTTTCCTTAGTTTTTCTTACAATTTGGTTATTCATCTCTATCTCTCCTCTTCCCAGTAATTATAACCCACACGTTATTTCCTCGTATTCTATCTGCATGTATGACTATTGATCGATGCATAGAAACGAGATATTTTTTTTTTCGTTTGAATTTTAACTCGGTGTAATGGTCGTCAGAATCAATAGTCAAACATCACTAAAGCATATCTGGCATATATGCTAATACCATACATAAACCAATACACGTGAAACACAATCCTCTGGCGAGCCTACCACACTAATAACATCATCATAGAGTCCAGTTAATTACGGGATTTGTATTGGGTTTCACTTTAATGGAGAAATATGGGTGTTACGAACCCCGCCATCAATTGTCTTGATCTACCTACCCAGCACCACGAGCAACGCCATCTAGGGACGAAACACGAGTATGACTCGTCTTAGTTACCACTCCCGGGTTTCCCTTCTCCATATCCTGGTTGTTGCGTCACCTCCTCCAAGTCTTCTTTGTCAGCTCGAGTTCGAGGAGAGTTCAGTTCACTCTGGGAAGTGACCACAGGATCACCTATTCTGGAAACCTACGGCACAGTGACTACCTACAGTCTTCTACAATACTCAGCCTTACTCGTCAGCCATCTCAGCTCCGCACTTAAGTATTTGTAATCTTATATTGCCTCCCCCACGTCCACTTGCTTCAAAATTATTGTATGTTGTATAAATATGTATATACTGTTAATGTTTAGGTTAAGCATGGTTAAGGGTAATTTATAGAAAGCTGAATATTTTGTTAAGGAATTTATGGTACTTTATTATACCCAACAAAAACTCGCATCCTTTGTCTACCCTTTTATAGTCCGATTGTCTTTGTTTTTTTGTTGTTGTTGCCTGTTGGGATCTGGGTAGACTTTTAACTATATTCTAAATCCCCAACTCGTAACAATGGGTTACGTTTATTTTTACACTCGACTAATTTGCACAATTTTAAGAGCATGATAACAACACATCGTTATTAACTGTACATTCGATGAGCTCTGTTGTTGACACTACTACTTAATGCATGGTAAAAACGAGAGAGAGAGAGAGAGCACAGTTTTACACCCTCCATCGTTCACACAGAGCAGTTAAGCCATCATCGCTGGCAGTAGGTGGTTATGTGATGTCGTATGAGAGGTCGAAATTCTAGGATGAAGGTGAGAAGGGCAAAACTGAGCCCCAAGAAGTACAGGTAGAAGGCGCTCTGCAGGTGATACAGCTTTAGCACCACGTCCCTTGAAGTCACCTGTGGAAGAGAATTGGGAATTTACTACTACTACTACTACTACCACTACTACTTTATTTTTTTTTTTTTTTTTATTAACGTGGCCTCCAGCCTCCCCCAATAGCCACACCTTCGCCACCATTTAATTACCTTAATATTAAATATCCTAATACATATGTAGCTATCCTATATGTGTTAAATTAGTTGAGCCGCAGATCTATGCGGCATTCAGTGACACTAGCCTCATAGTCAATATCTGCAGCAGTTGTCGGAGTTGGGGCAGAAGCTCTAGTTCCCCTGAGGCAGAGCAAAGCCGACCGAAGGAGAGAGAAAGACAGTCGACATCTCATCCAGGCTGTAACATAACTTCTGGGCTGCTGCTTCAGTTCGGAGATCACCTCCGCGAGTCTGGCGTAGAAACATCTTGCTCTTGGTTCCATCCCACCAGAGTTTGTGAACACTAGAGGAGTGAAGCTGCCTTGATCAACGTTTTGAATTCTCTCCCCATATGCCCTTCTCTTGTCGTTCTCGTTCCTCCTATGTGCAGCATCGAGAGCAAGGTTACAGTGACATGCGGCCATGGGATCAAAAATCCTGATGTCGAAGAAAGCTCGCTGTCCCCGTGTCCAGAATCCTCGAGCACTGACGTCCACACGGGCTTCGTTAGATGTGTTTGAAGTCCTGTGTTGGAAGATCTCACCATCCAATGGAAGGAGGGTCGGTTCTACCATGACATTCCTGCAGATTTCCTTCAACATATTTGCTGTGAGGTCCCTTACCTCGTTATGCCTCATGTGTATGAAGCCCCCCTTCTTGCACACCATGGCGTGATCGCTATCATAGGAAGAGCCACACACGCATTGGGAGGGCAAACCTTCTACTGGCCGACCGTACATTAGAGCAATGGCATCTGTAAATTCTTGTTTACTAAGACTGAAACCATTTGCCCTTATCGGTAACGTAGTTAACCAGTTCGAGGCGCTATAGCTACTTTTTTTTTCAAATTTTCTGGTACCTGCAGCAACAGTTGCTGCAACTTATCATTTTGGCAGTGCTGTCGATCTGTCGTAATGGACCTACGAATCTTATTTACTTCACTGGTATCCACTTCCCCTGTTGCAGTCTGGGCTATTATGTGGTCCGTGAGGGCTGCCGTGAGCTTAAGTGAATTTTGATGTTCAGTGGCAGCAATCTCCTCTGGATTTGTTAGTCCCATCCCTCCCAGTCTTGATGGAAGTGCAAGAAGTGCTCTTTCTGCTGGGGTTAAGTCAGGGTGTTTCACTAATTTAGGAATGAAATTGACACTGATAACTTCTTCCAGAGGGTGGAGGAGGGATCCGATATCAGGGATAGTACTCATCAGGTAGTCCCAATGATGCTTGACTCCATGGGTGAATGCAGCAAAGGTCGCATGTGGCTCTGTGTTAGCAATCTCAGACGGAGCTTGGATTTCACTAACCCACTCATTCACCTTTCCTGCTACGTACTTGGTCTTGAAGTCCGCAGTGCCAATTACTGCGCCTAGATGTCTTTGGCCGCCCTTAGTTATTTTGACCTCACTTCCGCCAAAAACCTCCAATGCCCATTCGTAATGTTCTGGCTTCACGATGAGGAAGGACTTGCTGGCGTTTGGGTGGTACCCTAATTGTGGACCTCGCGATGTTACCAAGTCCCACCACTTTTTGATGCCCTCCACTTTTCCTGCTCCTGTGAGGTCATCAGCATATGCCACTTGTTTGACACCCGTTGTTTCAAATTTTATTTCTCGTTGGAGCACTGATAGGCCAATTGCATACATTGCCATTGCAACAGGGTCCCCTTGTGTTGTTCCCTCGGTTGACTGTAAGATGGTATCACCTCTTAGAGCCTTGTTGTTTACTATATAGAGGTCTGATGGATTCCTATACGAATTTTCAACATACATTGCAAAGCTTGGACACTTGATCTTGATGTTGTGCAGTGCAGCCTTGCGGTTAAGTATGTTGAATGTATTTGAAGCATCCACCAGGAGAACGGCCTCACAATCACGCTGCTCAAATATCAATCTCATGGCGTGAATGGCGGCCTCCCCGCCAGCCTGGTGGCCAGCACACACTTGTAGGTTCCCTGCTGCTGCCCTGACATCATCCTTTACCACCTCCATTATGCATTTTCCGATGATCCGCCCCAGCACTTCCCCCACCCCTATAGGCCTACATCCTGGTTTCTTTTACAGAGGAATAAGGCGGCAGGCCGTCAGGGCCTGGAGGTGATGGCAGCAAGAGGATGCAAGCTTTCTTGCAAGGGCGGCGATGGCAGTGCAGAGATTACTTGCTACAGGGCCAAACTTGTTTGTGCTGAGGATGACTCTCCAACCGTTTGCATCCAGACCTGAAGGGCCAACTCCTCCTCGAGTCTTCAGTGCCTTTTTCCACACCATCTCTCCTGTTATTTTCTCGAACAGGACAGCGTTTGGTGGGGTATAGACACCCTCGAACCTGATGCCTTCTTCGTCGCTTGCAGGGGGATGTTTCTCTTTCAGTAGTTTTAATGTCTCTCTGTTTATTGGCATCACCCCACCGGAGGATTCCTCTGTGAGAGATCTTACCGCCAGAGACACTTTCCCCACGCGCATTTTATTTCCAAATTTTCTTGCCACGTCATCGGTGTTTTGCTTTCCTTCACCCGTAATTTTTAGTCTCTCCTGCAGTGTTCTTGCTTCACATAGGAGGTCATCAAGGGCCCCAGTCTGCCACATTGCCAATCTTCTCTTCATTGCTGCCACATATTCTTTGTGCTTAGTCTTTGTGTGTGTTCTCTGACAAAATAGATGTAGTATTATTGCCAGTATTTGAAGAGCTAAGGGGGCGAGGAAGCGGTCCTGAGTATAATCAGTCATGAGGCGAGTCATCTCCCGAATCATTTTTTTGGTGGCCGCACACTTGGGTGGTTCAAATAAGTTGGCGGGCGACCACTTGACAATTTCTGAATAGGTTTCTTTGACCCATATGTCTGCGTTTTCCATCGCCATGCCATTCCACTGAGGTGGCTGTCTCTCATTCTCCTCGTGGACATCTACTACTAAGGGAGCAGCATTTATTAGTACTACATTTTCGGGTTGAGTAGACTCACTGCTATCATTTCGGATATCATCTGGTGGTTGGGTCCCGGCGATATCCACTGTGGCCACCTGTGTCGGCCCCCTGCGACGTGGGTTCCGACATTAGTCTCGCTTCTTGCAATCCACACATGGTCGGTTGTTTCTCGCACAAACACAATTTGTGCAGTTTTGGTTCGGGTTAGCACAGATGCAGCAATGATTGTTACCAGGCATAGTGAACAGCGCCTTGCGCGACAGTTACGTCCGCCTCCGAGCATCTGATTTAGTCCCAGGCACAAGATAATACTGGTTCTTATGAGGGAAGGGCGGAGAGGTGACAGGCTGGACTGCTGTGTCCAGGTAGTAGGGGCATACGTGCGCGCGTGGGTGTGTAGGCTACCACCCCCCCCCCCAAGGGCGACCATCCATACGTCAGAATGATACACTATGGACAAGAATTTGTCACACCAAGCACTTGTTTATATATATCCTTGGCACAAATAACCACTATTTATATGGTCTCACTGGTGTAATATCAGTTATATATACTCAATTGGTTCGTCGTGGCCCTACATGAAGTGTCCGTTACTATGGTGGGGAGGCGACCGCATGGGAGCACTCTCGGCCCCATAGGGGCGAAAGTCTCGAGACAACCCCTGTCAAAGTAGGCGTATCGACACTGACCTTGGCTCCGAGCTTCGCATTATTCCACCGACCCAGCGCCGCCAGGTCACCACTCGCTTGGTGATCGCCGGTGAACACACGGAATATTTACAATTTATGCCGTAAGGGATAAATTCCCGCTCCCACACAGCGAGTATATCCCCACCAATAACCCTTTAGATCAGGGAGGATGTTCCACGACACCCACGCCACGCCACTACTACTACTACTACTACTTTTTTTAAAGCATAGTATTATCAAATGGCCTCCATCCTCCCCCTATAGCTACTACTACTACTACTACTAATTTTACTACTACTACTACTACTACTACTACTACTACTAATAATAATAATAATAATTCTACTACTACTACTACTACACATAAACACCAAAGTACATAAATTACCTCTACTTGAAAATAAAATATCAAAGGTGTTCTTACAGGTGGATGTGATCATTATTCATTCTTAAAATACACACATATAGCCAGCAGGAAAACACCCAGCAAACATTCCTTTCACTGTGTTCTGCTATTACCGGGTTACCACTACCACGGCTACCAATTCGTTTTAGAATGAACGGGAAGGAAAAAAAATCTGAATGGGCGGGAAGATGAACGGCCTCCCACTCAGAAAACTTGGGAAATTTAGATGGTCTCTGGCGATTACCTCTTGTGTTTTAGTGCCGCAATACCAAGAGGATATAAAAAGTTAATTTTCAGCATATTTTTTGGTGTTATTTACTGCATGTTTCTTGTGTTATTTGCAATGTGGTTTTTGTGTTATTTTCATCGTGGTTTACGTGTTATATTTCCATTGTGGTTGTGTGTTATTTTTCATCGTGTTGTTGGTGATATTTCCAACGTGGTTTTCGTGTTAATTACAATATGGTTTTCTTGTTATTTTCAACGTGGTTTCGTGATGTTTAAGAGAGTCAAGTGAGTTTTTGTGAATGGGCAGGTAAATGATAATAGCTCGTCTATCCTTCAGGTAAAAATAACCCTGTCTATCAACTCCGGTGTAAATTTTCAATCCCATAGAAGGGAAGAAGTAGTTTGTTCACATAAATGCAACAGCTACTGATATCGGCATACTCGTTTACGGGTTGAGAGAAGGAAATGAGACTTATGGACCGTGGTCGTGTAACCCTGATAGCTTAAAAGGCTAAAACTAAATATAAAATGGCACAGTCGCCTGCACTTATACCTGTGAGATGTGGCAACTCTGTGTTTGTTTACATCCTATTAAAAGTCTCGGAATGGCTCGAGGAACCTCAAAATAGTAGGCAGATTAATAATGCTTCATAGGCATTCCACAGAACTGCCACATCTCACAAAACGCGCCAACCACTGTACGAGGTATTAGTGCAGGCGATTGTACATAAACATGTGAACTGCTCGTATAAAGTGTTTGCCCCCCTTAAAGGTATCTGATCGAAAACCCACGGAGGAGGAAGGCGTGTTTGACCCGCTTCTCCTAGCTTCCAGGGCTGTAACTAAGAACAGGTCCTGTAGCCAGACGTGTACCAGCCTGTTCTGTAGGAGGCGATGCATCAGGGTGTCCAATGACCGTAAGAAGGGCGCCCCTATCCTGCAACGTTACAAAAGACAAGAAAAAATAATATGTAAATTTGTTTGTGTGTCTTTTTCACAGATAATGACTTGAATTGTTATTCCGTTGTGTATAGTCAGATTTTTTTTTTGGGGGGGGGGGAACTGAAAATATTTATGGCAGTTCATAAATTACAATGGTGGGTAGTTGGGATACACCCTTGGCTTCTTGCCCTTGTCTGTATGATTCCCAGTTGCAACCACCAGTCAGATAGCTAAGGTGACTTACTTTCGACCTACACACAAAAGGGTGACTCAACTATGACTTAGACACGACAGGGTGACTCAATTATGACTTAGATACTACAGGGTAACTCAACTATGAATTAAACACTACAGGGTGACTCAACTATGACTTAGACACTACAGGGTGACTCATCTTTGACTCAAGACATGACAGGGTGGCTTATCTATGACTCAGACACGACAGTGACTCACCTACACCCCCAGCCACAGCCGCCAGGAGTAAACCCGTTAAGACTAACATACAGAGGAGAGTAGCCAAAATCATCCGTGTACTTGGCAGAGATAAGCGTCTTGGCGTAGTTCTTCCAGGTGAAGAAGGCATGACGACCCTCCATCATCCGGCGTATCTGCTCGTCAGCCTCCAACACCTGCGCCGTTAGTGTCAGATATGAGTCACGATACATGTCACTAAAGTACATACTTCCCTTAACACCTAAACTACGTCTGTCAAAGATAAAGTGCAAGATCTTTTGGGGATGACATATCCTCTACTGTACCCGCATTAGGGCTGTCAAAAGTGGGAAATTTTTATCTTTCTCAAGTCTGACTATTAATTTTTTTTTCACATCTTAATGACAACAAAGAAATAACAAAATATCAATAAATGGAAGGATAAGCATACAATTACCTAGATGTAGAAATATAAACAAACTCATCTACTTAAATTTAAATATACATTCACATTCTTCTAAGGCAAGATATAAGTCCATCTGTCATCAAAACCTTTTCATATAATTTAATAGTCACATAACTACTACCTAAAACAGGTTACCTCGAGCCTGGCAAACACTCGTTTTACATCGGTGTTGTTGCTGAACTTGAGGAAATTCCAACCCAAGCCATAACCAGGTTCTATCCCCCACGTCCACCCGTCTTGTTGTAAGAGCTGCTTGATGGTGTTGACCGGTACACCTATCTCCGGTGCCGTCAGGTTGGCCACAAGAGACGAACGATACATGGTGACGAGGATCAGGCTGAACATACTCCACCACACCACCCACATCTTAGGGGGGGGGGGGGTGAAACATAGAGCCAGTGTTTGTGTACAGTAGTTAGAATATATCCCCATTAACAGTTAATTATTTCAAACATGGTAAAATATATTAAAACACTTAAAGTTTATAATCCATTAAAGTGAATATTTTGAGTACCGGTAACCCTCTTTCCCGAAAATTTACACGGGCAGATTTTTATATACAGTATATGTTTTTAGTTCTACTACTACTACCACCATTACTAAAACTCTTACCAAAAATCCTCCCACCCCTAAAACCAACACAAATTTAATTCTTCGTATAGCCAACAGCTAACTACTATATAATACAGATGATCCGAACACAACATTAACTTACACGCCCATTCAAGCTGCTGGGATGTCTGAAGGGTGTTTGCTCCAGAAGGATACCGATGGTTTGGTAGACAGACTCGACGAGGTTGAAATTGTGGAGCTTTTTAATATGATGTGATGTTCCTTGTTGGAGGAGCCAGAAGAACATCCCAGCCACACTACACGCTACCATCAATGTTAACCATACCAGCGCTGTGAGATATGATGAGAATAGTGATAAGGAGTGATAGTGATAAGGCGTGATTGTGATAAGGCGTGATAGTGATAAGGCGTGATAGTGATAACGGATGATAGTAATAAGGAATGATAGTGATAAGGTATGGTAGTGATAGTGATAAGGAGTGATAGTGATAAAGCAAGATAATAATAGTGATAAGGAATGATAATAGTGTTGATGATAGTGATAAGGAGAAATGATGATAGTGGTAGCGAGAGAGATGATGGTAGTGGTAATGGTAATAATGAGAGATGTTAATTGATTTTCACTTAAGTATTAACCACCCTGATGCTAACCAAACCTAACCTAACCTAACCCCCCAGGTAGCGTAAAGGTGTTTAATCATCAAGTGACAATACGCTCAGTGATCTAATATTCAAGTGACCGAAAATAATTAGTGTTTTTTTTCATGATCACTTACAAAAACATAGAGTACACGGCGGCAAGAACACCTATGGCACGCGACGTTGGGTACACAGGTAATCAAATGGTAACCAAACACTGACGTGCCCCCAGGTGTGTTATGTCACTGCATTCATTGTGTGAGGTTAATTCATTATTCACTCGAAGCCATGTTGATTTATGCATTATTTGAGGTATGAATATTTTATAAGAATGGTGTGAGGCTGTTTAGGTGTAAAATACAGTTATGATGTACAGTATAGTTAAGGTGTGAATACAGTTATAGAGTACAGTGATGGTATAAATGCAGTTATTAAGTAGGCCTATAGTGATGGTGTATATAGTCATTAAATAGACTGATAAATGAGGAAATAATTAAAAAGATAGATAAAGGCCAGACAGACTACTAGAGTGCAGGTGTACAGACAGGCAGATGTAATACGTTTGAAAGGCTTGATCACAGCTAGGTACTGCGGTAGAGGTAGTGGCTTATGAGTCACTATCACCAAGGGCTCGGGGGCGTAGGTCCTGGTGAAGCGAATGACTTTATTCCTGGCCTGCGAACTGAAGAGACAGGAGGATATGTCGGCCTTCTCCATAGCCAGTGTGCCCACCATCCCCGTCCAGGATCCGTTACTATCCAGCGTTCCCCATTGGTCGTCCACCGGCAAACGGACCTCAAATCTGAAACACCTTAATTGTTGTTTATGTCATTTCATGTTTTGTATATACAGGTAATTCCAGATTTTTTTAGTTTTTATTTATTCCTTCTTTTGACTATTCCTGACCATCCCTATCCACCGCTTAGTCTAGAAGCCGAGAAATTTTTTGGGGCAACAGTGGTTTTATATTCTACAAGTTCATTTCTCTTACTCGTGCAGTCGTTCGTGTACCATCGGGAGATTTACTGTACACGCTATCGATGTCGTGGCTAGTTGACCCAAAGATTCATATTGGCTGTTGCCTTCAAATATGGCAACACTCCGTTATCCAGAGCATTTTATTGGATAAGAGTAAAAATATTTCCTCTACTGTTATTCAAAATCGATTTACTTTTTTATTGCCAATGAAATTCACCAAATATTCATCGAAAACAACTGAAAGATTTTTTTTGTCAATGCCTCAAAGTTGAAAGGGAAATTTTAAGTACCTCGTGGATGGTGATACATGGTAAGATTTATGGAAAATAATCTGCTCAGGTGTATGCATTACGATATGATAGTTGACAAAGATAAAGGGGACTTATGTCAGCTACAGTACACTGGACACTGCAAACCTCAACTAAGTCCTCTCAGTATCACTATTTTTACTTACTATTTATTCTTATTTATCCATCTACCAATATACAGAGAGAGAGACTCGCAAAAGTCATTAACCATTGGAACTTAACATCTTTTTATGGTTACATGTACTCTTAACTTGAAGAGAATCACCAGGTGAACAAGATAAGCTGATAGGAAGGTTAGTAAACGATTAAGTTTTAAAAGATCTCGTCTTGAAGAAAAGTTGTAACGTGTGCTATGAATATGTAATATAAAAGTAGTATTATACATAATTTATTTAGGGTACAATGATATGAATTATTATTGTCATTATAAATTGAGTTTCCGCTGTATTAAGTAGTGTTTTAGTGTCTGTCTTGAATGAAATTGAGAATCGATAATAGAGTATTTTGCAAGTAGGTTGTAGGATAGTTCTGACAGCTGGCAGGGGCAAAATAGACGATACTCGAGTCATGCGGTAGTAATGCAAGTCACTTAAGATGTTAGGTCGTACTATCAAGCAACAACGAAAATTTTTAAAGTCAGTTTAGTCGTGCAAGAATGAAAGTCGTACTGAGTAATCCGTTTAGTCATCGAGATAATGGTGACAGGCGACTGAAACTATGTAATGGAAACAAACGAAACAAAATTTTATTCGTACGTAAAGTTTAGTCGTTCTGACATTTCCTGAAGCATCCGGTGGTCGAGACAGTCGTGGGGGGTGACAGTCGATCCAGCCTCAGGTCCTTCACGGTCATACTTGATGAACGGGAAGAACGACAAACCCACCACTCGCAGCTTGTGGCCACCCATGTCCGCAAACGGATCTGGAAAACGGCAACACTTTTCACTATTACCGGATGTACTGTATGAGTATATGGAACTCCGGACCACTAACGAAGAAAATAGTTTTACTTGCAACAACGTCGGCCACTACTTCCCTCAGTGCTACAGTTAGGAGATATAATTTACTTCTGTTCTTGACGACCTATAATGATTTATTTTTTTATTTTTTTTTACCAATAGTGGAATATTTACTGTAGCTTACCTGTACCGAATTATATAAAAGTTTATAAACCAGAGGACTATTGACCGTAAGTTTTGGAATAACTATTTACCTTTTCTATTACAACATCACCGAGAATCAGATCATGTATCACACGATTACCGACACTAACTTTTAAAGAGATGGACGGTGTTATGGTAACCTCTGTGACTGTCCCACAATCCCAGGGGCACCACATCAGGCGACCCGTCACGGCAGTAGAGACAACGCTCATATATGTACACCGTGGAGGCTGCCGGAGAGAGTTACTTGAGAAATATGCAAAACACAATACCATCGTCAAAGCTGGCTGATCAGCATTAGCCATTCAGGTGATAGTGACTCGGAGAACTTACCTGTGTTATTATAGTTATCACCTGCGTCATCACCTTCAACGTCAGTGACTAATGGTTTGGTGTCAGAAGTTAGAGGCGTTGGGACGAAGTAGAGGATGTGGATGGTGTTCCTCAGAGACTCGTGACGTAGGAGGAGCTGTACTCTAGACTCGGGTCCCACCACCAGCACCCTCGTCTCAGGCCAACGCCACACCCCCACAGCCTGCAGGAACCTGAACAAAAATAAAACCAAATAAACAAAGAACAGATAAACTAAAAGATCAGGACCTCTTTCACAGTTACCCAGATACAAACACCTTCTCTGTATTATTATTATTATTATTATTATTATTATTATTATTATTATTATTATTATTATTATTATTATTATTATTATTATTATTATTATTATTATTATTATTATTATTATTATTATTATTATTATTATTATTATTTTCAACCATAAGAAAAGGAAGAAATATCTACACGTATAGAAAATTCAAAATCAAATCGAAACTGAAAATCTAATGTGATATTTTGAAACAGAAATAAAAATATAATTCAAAATGTTGACTCAAGCTCACTGTATTCTTTCCTTTGTGAACTTGGAAAAATATTTGATTAATTAATATAGCTGCTTTCATATTTTATCACAGCGACTCTTATATTCCTTTATTGTACAACAAACACATAAGGAATATTTACTGTGTTTATACTTTGGACTTCGTGTTTTTGTTGTAGTTTTAATACGTACTTTCTCCCTCATTACTACGAGTTATTTCTGTAATATTTGATAAGCTTTTTCCTTTGTGTTTTGTTCATAATGTGGATTGTGTCTGACTTCTGTATGAAAGGTAATGTTATGATTATTAATTATTATTACTATTATTATTATTAGTAGTAGTGGTAGTAGTATCATTAACAAAATCAAAAGTTAAGTAAAACTCTCCTCCCTGATAACCTTGACTGCAATTGTCTAGCGCAGTGGTTCTCAAACCTTGTTTGCCCCATGCACCCCTTTCACCATATGTCAGAATGTCATTCCCCCCCTCCTTTCCAAGATTGTCTGCCTTAAAAAGTGCATTCCAAATAATATGCGTATAATACTGAAAATCCTTTATTTTTCCATATTAGTACATATACATTCCCCCGAAAACCTGAATTCCCCTCCCTGGGGGGAATTCCCCCCTGGTTGAGAACCCCTGGTCTAGCACATGTTTATTATTTCAAGAGATCAATAAAGCCAACAGGTAAATTCAGGAACTCCATACTGCAACTCACTTCAGGATTCATACTTCCTAGAATACTTATCTACGATGCTGTTAAAAAGTTGACGGTCTGTAGTGACATATTTCAAGGATTTTTAAAGAAAATTTTCACATATTACTGTACACCTACTGACAATATTTCCTGGACGCCTAAGACAATACCTGGTCGTCAGAATATAACTCTTATTTACCTAATTGTGTATATATTTACGTTGCTATTCTGAGTCATTCACGAGGTATTTACATATATTTTTAACAGGTAGATGTCTCATGTGTTCAGGTAGTTCTGGTCGGAGGTGCAATTACTTATTTACCGTTTAAGTAATTATGTCAGCAACCGTAATGGTGATGGTGATACCTGAAGTTGTGGCGTTCGTGGTGATACATACCTGGGGAATAGTGCTAATGATAATACTCACCTGGAGAATGGTTCTAATGGTAACACTCATCTGGGGAATGGTTCCAATAGTATTACTCACCTGTGGAATGGTTCTCATGGTAATACTCATCTAAGATATAGTGGCAATACTGTACTTACTAAGGGGGAGGTAATGAGTATTATTACGAAGCTTGATATAGAATATGCTTGAGGACCCGACTAGTACCTGACCATCGACCCGTGTTTGGCTGCTGCACGACCACTATTACTCGATCTCCCGACTCGATGTTCCGAACCTCGAGTTATGGATCATGGATACATTGGATGGCCCATAGCTTGGGCTCATGGTTAGGCTCTCCGGAGCTCCGTATCTGTGTTGTTCAGATCTCGAACGGAGTTGTAATGAAGCGGTGCACCAGGGAGGAGGGCTGAGCATTCCAGGACGGACGAGGGTGTGGAGCTGGTGGTCGGCGGTTGTGGTTGATAGTGGCTTAGGATGCAAGGTAAATTTATAATATTTATGTACATTTCTATGTGGTAGGATTAGAGTGATTGTTTGGGTATTGTTATATATTTATATAACTGTTGTATGAGTGTGGCGATTGTTAATGTTTGATTATTGCTGGTTGTTGGTGTTTCTTGTCAATATATTGTGCATTCCAACATTGCGTTTGCTACTACTCTCCTATAGTGATACAGAATACCTGAGTGAGACTGAATAATGCAGGAGCAATAGGCTAAACATGAGGTGAAATGTAAGTAAACAAAACTCCCGGTTCCTGGTAAGGTGTCCAGCTCGGGAACAAAAGCTCGTAACACTGTTGTGGACACTCACCTGACAGCTAAAAATAATAGCAGTAATGGTGGTGAAAGAGGTGGTGATGTTGATGATTGTACATGGCGATAACAATAACAGACAAGACTAACCTGAAGGCGACGGTGCTGGAGGAGTTATCGTTCAGGTACAGAACAAGGGCGCAGCAAGAAATTTTATGTTCCCAGTCTCTCAGTTGGTGAAGGAGGGCGTCATTCTTTGAGCTAGTGGACGCCATAGCCAGATCAGCGTCCACTAACACACTAGTATAACCTGTTTTAGCCAGCGTCCTGTGAGTGTGAGGAAAGATTTTACGAGACTGAAACATCATTAAGAAACTAGAGATGATCAATAGGTACAGATGACCAGGTTAATTAGTTTTTAGATCTAGCTATACTAATATCGGATCAACTATGATTAAACACCCTAATTCTACAGAGGGAGTTAGATTAGGTTAGGTTAGGTTAGGTTAGGGAGGTATACAGTAGTGGTGAGAGTGTTTTATTTTTCCTCTGTTTAATATTACTTATACTCACCGAATCTGGCAATTGTTTGGTACACTAGACCTGGCAATACTGTTATGATAAACTGGACCTGGCAACACTGTTATGATACACTGGACCTGGCAACATTGTTATGATATATTGGACCTGGCAACATTGTTATGGTACACTAGACCTGGCATCACTGTTATGATATACTGGACCTGGCAACACTGTTATGATATACTGGACCTGGCAACACTGTTATGATAAACTGGACCTGGCAACACTGTTATGATATACTGGACCTGACGGCACTGTCATGATACACTAGAACAGAGTACATTATTATTTTGCACAGGGTCTGGCAACATTGTTTTTATGGTACGTTGGACCTGGTAACACTGACGGGAATATTCAGTTGTGTGAAACAATTTTATATCGCACCAAATTTTACAGAATTTCTAAACAAAAACATGATGTTATTATCTAAAAAAAAAAAGGCCATCATAAAAAATTGGTTATAAATACTAAAATAAACGTAATTTAATGTAATTCCCGCGGTATTTGATGAAATTCTGGGTGTTCCAAGAGGGATATTATAATGCTTTTGTTAACCTTTTACTGTCATGACGGCTTACGCCTTAGTAAGTGTACAAGAACACTGCTCATAGAAATGTACTTTCCCTGAGATTGGAAAGTTTATATGATCATTCTTAGTAAATTAATTGTTTTGCTTTGAGTACACCGGTGTTTTGTGACTCGGCAGTATATTATTTAGCAAGTTTTGTATCCGTCTACAGTTACTGTGTTTAATAGATCTCCTCACACCATGAAACATTCCTTACATAGGTACAAATACGATCTCGTGTAAATGCCCGCTTGTGAAATTTATTTGATCGTGTAGCTCAGTACACGTCTTTGAAAAAACTTCAGAGGAAATCATCATTACAGTGTGTGTTTGGAGGGGGGGGCTAAGCGTGTTTATGTTCCTGTCTGTCAGTTATGTCTAGCTATGGGTGGAACTCTACATAACTAGTTCCCTGAAAGCTATCAAGATTATGAATTATTAGGATAATGAATGATCTCACCTGAGGAGACGAGTGGTGTCAGGGTGATGGCCTTCCGTCGCCACCATCAGGCAACACCCGTTCAAGTGTTCCTCTGCCACCTGGCTCACCAGCACCTCCACCCCGCTGTGTTTGGCCCCATTATCACTCTGTACATCCTCGCTGCTGTGCTCATCCATGTCGCCTCCTTGGCCAGAGTACTGTCTCATCCTCCGCACGAGCTGATGGGCGAGTGAGGCGTCGACCTGCTCAGTCGTGACCACGTGAAGGAGAAACACTCGTAGGGTAACCATGGTGGCCAGGAGGGGCTGCCGGCAATATGAATTACCTAAATCAGATATTTTGTTTAGGAATACAAGTTACAGGTACAGTAAAGTTCAGTGGCCACCTAATAGTGACATAAGCCTTGACTGGAGAGCGAGGGTCATCCCAGAGGCCTTATGTTTAGAAATTCGTATCGTAAGTGATCGCCAGCCCTGGTGTTGGTATGCCGTTGTACATGATCATTAACATGTATCTACCTCTTTATTTAACAACTCGCCCATATTTCCAAGCAAAGGAGGTAAATATCCTTATATAAAGCGCTATTTCTGTTGACACCTAATATAGTGACCTGATAGTGTCATATTTTGTGTCAGTAGTGTAGACAGCCAAGCTTATTGTTAACATGGTGACATATGAATGACGGAATGTTTATGTGACAGAAAGAATAAATAGTGATGGGGGAAGTGAGTGATCGTGTAGAGATTGTCCTCACCAAGGGAGTTTCAGTAGATGTAGAATAAAATAAGGTACTTGAGCGTTGACGACTGTAATATCATGACAACAATGTAAGTGACGTCAAGACCAATCTGTTTATGTTTACCTCTCTTTATAAGCCTTAGATAACATTGCAATTAATCATGAATCTGATAGCCCATTACTTAGAAACTTTGATAGCGTAAACTCGTGAATCTTACTTTAACAGAAACAGTATTTAAACGAAGCCAGCCTGAGTTACCCTCCCCCCCTGTATTTACTCATTGCTCATACAATTTGGTTTATTTGTATTTGGTCATGGAATATTTGTGATGTTTGTCAAGGAATTATTCGTATTACAGTATTACACGCTATGAAGAAATTGATCTTTTGTGTAGAGGTTTGAGTATGCGTGTGGTCGACCAATAGCGTGTCGTTCCCCATACTGGCTGCAGCTCCTCACTCAGTTCAGATGCTAAAGGCATAAATAATGAAGTCCGTTTTAGTCTTTACTTAGGCTGAATTTTTCAACGAGACGCGAAACTTACAATCTGGAAATGGAAACAGTTATTATCAATAAATTGTGGTGGTCTTGCTATCATTTTTAACCATTTTCCCAATGTTTATGTATTTCCATCTGATATACGTAGAATTTTAACATCTATTTAAAAATGTTAATATAAACATTATGCTAAATTTATCCCCAATGGTCAAGTGCAAAGCTTTGTGCTGATATAATAACAAGTGAGGGATGAAATGTTTACATAAATGAAAAAAATAATTCCTTGTTCACACAATTAGTTAAACAATAGTTGATGTGATCAGTGTCGCGGTAGTGGAAACTTTTAATAAACAATTGTTTTATGAAGCTCATCAATTTGGTCAAGCAGACTAATTTTTTTTCCAGTGATATTAATGCTTGACTTTCAACATTTAAATTCCTATTGTTAATAAAGCGATGTTAGTGGTAGTTTTAATGTTACGGTAGGTTAGGTTATTTTAGGGTAGGTTAAGTTAGGTTTGGTTAGGTTAGGTTAAATTAGTTTAGGTTAAATTAGGTCAGGCTAGGCAAGGTTAGGTTAGGTTGAATTAATTAAAGAGCACCACTAAATACTGGCAGAGGTTTTTATGTTTGAATCGTGTTGCGTGAGTGAATGTTAATAATGTTCCAGTTCGTCCGTTTCTCACAAATAGTACACGAATTACTACACCCCTACCCACACACGCACGCCCTTTGTATATCCAATATTTTAGGTATAAATATGATACAGCAATAATTTCAGTATATCCCTTAACTTTACGAAAATATATATAATTTAAATGTACAGACAAACGAAGAACAAACTCTCCTCCACACACACACACACACACAGTTCCTCGCCCAATACTACTATCTCTACAATCCATTATTTTCATTGCATAATACATTTCACCATACATCATAAGAGGTGACTTTAGTACCCGATACAGTACAGCAAGCCATTAAAATAGACTCTTAGGCACCAGGTAGTCCAGTTATGTTACCTCTACTTGATTACAACCCTTTATTCTTACATCTGAATGACAGCTAATCAATATCTTGATATTATCTATGTATATCCATTATAAAAAATAGGTATTGCGGCCAATATACCTTCATAATCTCCAAAGAGTGTGCTTACCGTTGATTACCTGAGTGTGTGTAGGTGATAAGCACGTAGTGACGTTAGGTACTATATATCAATATAACATTATATAACACTATAGGAATTAACAATAAACCACACCGAGAACTAAGACACAATACAGCATAGAACACTATAATTAAGTCCACTATAAAACATTACATTCCACTACACCTAACACTAACAAACATTACAATACACAGAACTACACATACCACCACACGACACAACACTACAGTACATCTACCACAGGGAAATAAACTTAAGCTACAAGACATTAGGTTATGCGTACAAGATCTACACAACATTATTTTATACTAACTACCACTACAATAGGTTGGTTATCAATGCCCAACACTTCACAACACCACAAAACACTATGCAACACCTTACAACACCTGTTAACAACACGGAACATCTTTGAACAACCCATAACACCTGTCAGTACAACATAATACCTATCAATAATCCATAACATCTGCCAAATCCACCACATAACACCTATGAACACCGCTTAACACCTGTCAACACCACATACCATTTATTAACACAAAACAACTACTGACAACACCGTATAACACCTATCAAACCCACAAAACACCTGTCAGTACTATGTAACACCTGCCCATAAACACATAGTGCGTCCTATCACTTAACAACAACACACTACTTACCAGGTGCGTCAGAGATGTTGCCTCCATGACGGACTGTGGCCAACTGTGTCTTAGCTCACCGGCCCCCAACCCCTCTCTATGCCACGGTCACCCACAGACAGACGCTCTACACCCTCGAACACAGAATCGTTGCATCTCCTGTCTTATAGATACGTGTGCATGAAGTCCCCTTCTTTATGTCAGTAATATAGATGGATTTCTTTCTTACACCTTCTCAAAACTCATTGGGTATTCCAGTCTCTATGTCTTCAGCGGCCACACGTGTAAGGTGTATATATCTGCATGAGGTGTGTGTATCCTCAAATTTTATTCTATTTAATGAAGGATATTTGAGGTTCTTGATGTTCCAACGGAGTCATCACTTATGCTTTGGCTTGCCATGGTGAAATGAGTCACCAGGTGAAAATTGTACCTTTGCAAGAGATTATTCACCCACGCACAAAATATTAGATATCCCTCAGGTGTGGTTATGTTGATGGTAACACGCCTGGTGGCAGAATCCTGGGAAATCGATGAATTTATGGAGTTGAAATGTACATATTTTTTTCATTTCATATGAGAATACCTCCTTGACCATGAAAACTTGAATAGTACTTTTTGCTTGTTTGTGTCCACGTTCACAGATAACACAACAAGCCGTCAACTAACTAGCCTCCAGTTCCCATCTTCAATATGAGAGTTGCTCAAAGTGTCATAAATATCATTATTTATGGTAGAAAATTCAGATTGGATTTTCGTGAAAGAAAAAGATTTAACATCCAAAAATATCTTTCAAATTTACCCAAGGGTTTGGTTAAGTACTTTATGTAGAGTCAATGTTTGCATAATTAAGGATATGAATCTTATTAACAAAGGGAAAATAAATTGAAAGCCACTTACATAATTTCCCAATAGTCCCTGTCACTTACACTACATTAAGCTAGAGAAAATAAGTGAAAATAAATGTTGCATACAGGGTTCAAAATTGACACTATCCCGATCGCTCGTGGTTAATAACTTGTCTTCGGGGCTATTAACTTTTATAGGTTGCTGCCCCGGTGGTCCAACAAGCGACTATATTATTCTATTCATCCTGCGAGAGCTGTGGGCCCATAACATAGTTCCTCTGTAGCCACATTTGCGATATCTTAGAATTTGAAGCCAGAGAACCATACCATACCATACCATACCATACCATACCATACCATACCATACCAAGACTCCAGTATACTAATTATAGATATTGATTATACCAGATAGAATTGTTTTACCATTATTGATTTAAAGCATCAATTGTCAGTTAAGAATAGTATTTCCCGGTATTCTCATAACGTGTCGTAAATTTGTGTAGGATAGACATTTCATCGGTGGCTGGACTTGGCTATAATTCAGTTATGAATTTTAGTGCAACGAGAGATGAATGGGTGACGTATATTGACGATACGACGGCGGACAAAGAAAGATGCATCGCCATTCTCTCTTGTCACGCCCTGATGCATGACTCCTCTCTGGCACAAAAGAAAGGCATTCCTCTTCCCGAATTATAAAGTTACGAATAAACAAACATTTCAGAAAACACACTACACCGAGGAGTTTATACACGGATATGATACTTGAATGATATTTACATGAGGGATATTTTTTGTCTAGAGTGCATATATTTATTGACGGCATCGTAATGGTCCGTAATGGTGTGGTGAAGGACGGGTTGTCGACGCTTGTCTGTCCAGGCACCAATTACCTGTGTGTGTGTGTGTGTACCAGGAAGCCGGAGCTGAGTGTTGAATGTTTGATTCTGTACACTCCGGGTGCCAGCTGGCCTCCACCCACCCACTCCTTCATTTCTTCTACGGGTTCATTATCTCACTGAGAGATTTATACCATGAGACGCATTTGTCTTCAGTCAAAGAACGCGAGTCTTAGTGTTCGCGTTGAGGATGAATGTGTTTGGGTATAGATGTGTGTGTGTGTGTATGTGTGTGTGTGTGTGTGTGTGTGTGTGTGTGTACAGGGAAACGGGTGACACAAATTAACAAGAGGACACAGTCTAATATACCTGTCAAAGCACAAACAAGAGATTATCACTACAAAAAAATATCAATTCATTGTTAATTACTGTACTCGAGCTTAAAGGAAATAAAACAACCTTTCAAAATTTTTACATCAGTTAGGAAACTTTTTACTCCTTACGCCCCAGGGTGTTGAGTGAGGCATCTTGGTAACTCCTTTAGACCGCTGGCTACTTGTCCTCGAAACGCAGACAAGAAAGATCCCGGAGAGACAACTTAAACCTTGGACTTCCGGCACTAAACTAAACTTGTTGCGAACTACTTGAAGGAAATAGTGAAAACCTCTATTTAACGGACTATATGGGAAAGTGTAGTCTATTATATCCAGGTCCAATAGATGTGTAACTTCCATATAACAGACTATATGAGAAATTACAGTGCATTATATCGAGGTCCATTATATATGAAACCTCCAAATAACGGACTATACCCGTTAGATTAATGTCCGCTAAATGGAGGTTTTACTGAAGTTTTATTTTTTTTGCAAACGAACTGTATATTGTTATTTGTACGTTCTTATATTGTTTCAGTCATTTGGGTTCATTTTCATTCCATTTCTCATTTCTTCTGGTGAACGACTTGTAGAATGAATAACTTAATACAAGAATTACACCAAATCTATAACAATTTGCATTCGACCTGACAATTTTCACGTTTCCTCGTCCACGTTCAACAATACTTTGGCTTGGAATTATAAAATAGTACAGTGCACTACACCCGTAAGGAGGTTTTTTTTTAATAGATTTTCAGTTCGTTAATATCAAATGATATATGTTCCTCCCCACAATAGTACTCGGGTTGGGTAGCCATCAAGGAACAGTCATTATTATTCATCTAACTGGGTGAGTGATGGGTAAGTGACTGACGGATACAGTCAACTGCATTGTAGGTGTTGATAATTATACGTAACTAAAGGTTGATGAATAATGACATATAATTGGACAAGAAGTAATTAATATGACCAAATTAAATAAATCACGAGGAGGAAATGGTGCTGAAATAAATTGAGGGTATTTTGGGCTTGTTAGGATATAATTTTACTCTAAATAATTGTCATAATGTGAGGGCTGTTAGAATGTCAGGGCTGTTAAAATGCCAGAGCTGTTAGAATGTCACAACTGGCTTCCTTAATTAAGTCACCTGACCCGGGGTACTTGAGAGAGCTAGGTGAAACAGGTGTAATATAGAAGTTGTTATCATAATTACTGATGTATAATGAATTATTTTTAATTTTACAGTGTTTGACTACATGAACGGTGAATCCTGGTGTTGGTAGGGAGGAGTGAAGGAGAGAAGGAAGAGATTGCATAATATTCCCTCCCTCCCTCCCTCCCTCCCTCCTTCGCCACAAAGCTTTATTGGCCTGGATACACAAGTAAGGACATAAAGTAAAGATTTGGTTCATTACAAATTCCTTTTGGATTGAGATTGGTTCAACGAAATCTCTTCCTTAATCTCTTATGTTATTAATTCATCATTTCTTTGTATTTTTCTTATTTAATATCCTACTTCTTATTATTTTCCTTCATGGCATTGTTTTATGAAAGATTAGGATAGGTTAGGTTAGGTTAGATGAATATAAACAGACTTAGAATCTATGTGTTACTTTTCAATATGAAGAGATAAGACGTTTACTTATTCATACACGATTGCAATTGAGACAAAGTTATTAATTTGAATATGAACGATGATATATATTAAACATTAATATTAAATCTATTTTTACGGTAATACAAAGATGTTCATTCAGAGACCTTTAGTGAAATTAAAAATATACCTCTAAAACCCTTATACAGTTAAATGCGCGAGTATATATATTAATAACAATACTCATACCTGATATAAATTTATGAAAGTAAGAGAAAAATAGTTTAATTGCTTAGGTTAGGTAAGGTTAAGTTAGGTTAGGTTGTGTTGTTTTTTTCTAAGGCAATTGTTGCCATTCTTCGTTTACGCCCTACTGCTGCCGTTAATCACATGTAAGGCAATTGTTGCCATTTTTCGTTTTCCCCCCACTGCTGCCGTTAATCACATGTAAGGCAATTGTTGCCATTTTTGGTTTTCGTCCCTCTGCTGCCATTAATCACATATAAGGCAATTGTTGCCATTTTTTATTGTTGCCCCTCTGCTGCCATTTATCACATATAAGGCAATTGTTGCCATTTTTTGTTTTCGCCCCTCTACTGCCATTTATCACATATAAGGCAATTGTTGCCATTTTTTGTTTTCGCCCCTCTGCTGCCATTAATCACATATAAGGCAATTGTTGCCATTTTTTGTTTTCGCCCCTCTGCTGCCATTAAGCACATATAAGGCAATTGTTGCCATTTTTTGTTTTTGCCCCACTGCTGCCATTAATCACATATAAGGCAATTGTTGTTATTTTTTTTTTTTGCCATTAACATATAAGGCAATTGTTGCCAGTTGCCATGCATATAAGGCAATTGTTGCCATTTTTTGTTTTCGCCCCATTGCTGCCATTTTATCACATATAAGGCAATTGTTGCCATTTTTTGTTTTCGCCCCCCTGTTGCCGTTAATGCATATAAGGCAATTGTTGCCATTTTTTGTTTTCGCCCCACTACTGTCATTAATCATATTTAAGGCAATTGTTGCCATTTTTGTTTTCGCCGCTCTGTTGCTATTAATCACATATAAGGCAATTGTTGCCATTTTTTGTTTTCGCCCCCCTGTTGCCGTTAATGCATATAAGGCAATTGTTGCCATTTTTTGTTTTCGCCCCACTACTGTCATTAATCATATTTAAGGCAATTGTTGCCATTTTTGTTTTCGCCGCTCTGTTGCTATTAATCACATATAAGGCAATTGTTGCCATTTTTTGTTTTCGCCCCCCTGTTGCCGTTAATGCATATAAGGCAATTGTTGCCATTTTTTGTTTTCGCCCCACTGCTGCCATTAATCATATTTAAGGCAATTGTTGCCATTTTTGTTTTCGCCGCTCTGTTGCTATTAATCACATATAAGGCAATTGTTGCCATTTTTTGTTT